ATCATGCAACCCGAGCGCAGCCATTGTCCAAGAGGTTCCTCTGCCATGACGGAACCAGCGAATAATGCTGAACTTCTCTCTAGCGCACATATGTTTGTTTACTTCCTGAATAATTCCTGAACAAGTCTTTCTAGCCTTTTCCTATTTTAAAAAGATTTTGCGCTAAAGTGGTCCAGTTTCCGCTTTGCGCAAAGAAGTAACCACGCAACCGCAGTGATTCACAATATCAGACGTGAACAGACGTTAATCCTTCTCTTTCCTTCTGAAGCTAATCGTTCTCCTTCCATGTTGTCAGCTCCAAAATTTCCGGAAGAAATCTGCTCAGTGCAATTGGTTTGCGAACCTTTGTGACGAGGTTTTCGTGCATTGGGCGTTTCTGCTTGCTTTTTGGATCATGGACGGGGGAGTCGGTAGTGAAGAGTGAACGGCTCTAATGACATGACCCTAGACGTTTGTTTACAGTAGCATCGTTTGCCGTATTCCTGACTGTAGATCGCTTTTTATCTTTTCCTCTGTTAGCAGCACTTACCTGCTTTTCTCAAGCGCGCGTATCTTTATGCGACGTTCCCATATCTTTCTTGTGTGGAGCCAGTTTCTAATCAACGTCCTCTAAGTAGACGGAAAGGGATCAGCGAAAGATCATTGCCAAAAGTGTTTTCTCGTTGATTGCTTTGCGAAAAGATATGTGTAGATGCCTATCATTCATAGATTTTCCGGTCAAACCTGAATCGTTGTAGAACATTTAAGCATAGCAATAATTCATAGGGCTTCTAAATTTTGCCATGAGTACATACAATTTTTTGAATTCTACCTCAAGTACCAAACCTTGCCTTCTTCATTTCAACTTTTCATTTTCCCTCACAATCATTTCAACTGAAACCAGTTATTGCCTCAAAATATGTAGCTTTATGAATGTTGATGACATTTCGCATTAGCTTGTCTCGCTCTGTATTTTTTTCCGAGATGAAATAGATTTAGAGATAAGTCTGCCTCTAAAAAGTTTTCGAAAGATTCTCATAGCCAGCGGAAACATATAGCGCAATAAGCTCAGATGCCATTCCTGGGCTACCAGCCAACCCTTGTGTAAGTACTGTAGATAGAAACAATAGACAAGGTTCTCACCAGAAGGGACTAAAGGACTTATTGTTTAAGATGGACACATTGGAATTTTGACGTAGATACCCAGTTTTTGAGGATTTTTGATTTACTATAAAATAGTAAACTTATGTGCTATTTAATATCCAATTATGTTGCTGCCATAATTAAAACACAGTGAACTATGAAACCAACTGTCTTTTTCAAAAG